ACCAAGAAAAATGTTACTAAACCATACTGTACATGTACAGTCTCTAGGAAGACAATGACTTATAATGAGTTTAGAATACAAACACCTCCTAAGTTTGGTTAACTATTTTATAAGAGAGAGTATCCTTGACTTTTCTTAAATAAGCCTAATTACTAACTATGCTAAGAAATGAAAGAAAAAAGAAAATTAAAGAGTAACTGCCTACCTAATAAGACCACATTGTTATTATGAAAAGTTAAGAGGTATGTAAGTATATATAAATATTATGAGATTATGAAGAAGTACCCAAAAAGGTTAAATGAGCCAGAAGGACGTTTACCAGGACATGTCAAGCTTAATTGGTTCAAAATGAATTTCCAAAATTTTTTTCGTATTAAGTTAATTACAGAAAATTACGCAACAATTAGAAAACAAATTACAATTGGCAAAGATAGGAAAAAAGATTTATAATTGATTTCAAAAGGAAAAAGATTTAGAAGTGATTTTCATGGGTTATTGGAGGTATTAAGGTGAAAATATCTCCAGAAAAATATATTGACTTAAACAGCTTTTTTTATTTTTTTAATTTAATATTGAGCCAAAATTCCATGGTTTAACAATTATGTTAGGCCTTAAATAATTCAATAATTATAAAAAATAACTATTTAATGATTAGAGTAAATTAATGGATATAGTTACTATTCAAGAAATTTGAATTACGTTTAGATGTATTTGAGGCTTAGAAAAAGGATGAATTTAATAGATTTTTAATACTTTGTATTAATATTTAATATATATTTTATTTAGTATATATTTTAAAGTATATATTTTTTGTTTATTTATTTTATATTTTTTACATAGTCCTATTCATTTAAATTATGTAATTCAATAATTATGTTTATGTTACAATATTTGTAGCTTGGAAGTTTTTTATGCTTCTCTTAAGTCATAATGTATGCCTCATTCTGCTGGCGGAGGTTTTCAATTCCCAAACCTCCATCGGACTTGTCTGCCACCCGCTTTTCCCAAGAGGAGGAGGTGAGGTGAAGTTTCTCGTTCTCATGAGAAGAAGCCACTACTATGCTTATAAAATTCATTTAAGACCTTTTTTGACATAAGGATATTTTTTAAAAACTTATTTTATTTTAATATAAGAGATGTCATGATATTTAAGTAATTAGATAATTTTTCCCTTATCTTTTAAAAAAGGGAAGGAATATTAATTGTGTTTTACCCACTATCATGATGATATTAATTAACATTATTAGTGGCAAATGAAAAAATTATTATAATTTAATGTGTTTTCAACTAAATAAAATTTTTTTATTAAAATGTGGGATTCAATTAAAACACCTTATATATATAAACAAAATATAGCAGCTAGGCATGGCACTAACCATGTACATGCACGTGACCATGAATTTCCTTAAAAACGCTAAGAGGAGAAAATAGACCGAATTGCCCCAGAAAATTTCTTGAGGGGGGGGTCCATAATATAGAAGAATGTGTTCTAACTAAACAATAAAAATATAAAAAGACTTGCTGGGATGCCTCCGTTAAAAGATTTAAAATAACCTATTAGTGTGAGGTCTGAATAATTGGACAAAAGAGTTCCAAGTCCCAAGATTTTATTAAAAATTTCGTCTTTTTCCTTGTTCTTTGGTGTCAACATTTTATATTAAAAATGTCTCTATATGACATTTACCAAAAAAAATAATATATAGAGTAAGACAGAGCCGGATGGCAATTCAGATTGGACAAACTTCGACGACTTGGGACTGAATCTTACGCCTTGGAGCTTCATATAGGAACACACACACCAGCTCATAGATTTTCAAATATCAGAGACTGAAGACTAAACACAAGACTTGGCCTTAACATTATTTATTTCATCCTTCAGGTTCCTATTTTCTCCTTTGCTCTGGTTTTTTTTTTAATATCTATTCAATGAACTCATTATTGTTATGTTTAGATCGATCTGTGAAATTATCTATTTGCACAGGTTCTTCTTCCATTATTTAACCTTCGCATAATTCCTGTGGGAGCAGAGTCTTGAGTGAACTGCCTGTTGAAGTTCTCTTTTTTGTTTTCTAATTTTTCAAATTGATTCCATTCTATTTTGCTTACCGAATTGAGTGAGAACGGATCCGGGTACATTTGTTGACAAGACCGATCCAAATATTAAAACTAATTATAAATAAAGTTTGATTTAGGCTTTTTTTTTTTTTTTTTACAAAATTGGTTGGTTCAGTTGGATTCAAGTTTTTATCTCTTGAAACTTGAAACAAATCAAACCAAGTCTTATTGCGTCTATTTTATATTTTTATAAATTTATTTAACTGTTTTTCTCTTTCCCAAATTTATTACCCATAAGTCACTAGTAAAAAATCGTTATAATTAGTTACATGCTATCTATAATTTTGTGATATTTGTTTAGTTTTATAATCAACTGTTCATATTAGTTTTTAATATTTAATGTGCTAAATATTGTTAAAAATATTATTTTTTCTCAAGAGATTATTTTCATTGGAAATACTATTTAATAGGTAAAAATTAATAGTAAATATTCACATATATATAATGAAAAATATCTAAATAAGCTCAAACTTGATCCAACCTTAAACCAAACTAAACCAAAAATTGAATGGGTCCAAAGCTTCTGTGAACTGATTGGTTTGGTTCAATTCTATTTTTCTTCAAAACCAAACCAATCGAATCTATGGGAACCCTTAGGCTACTGCACATGCAAACACTTCTTGCAAAACGCAAAATATTGGAATAAACGATACAACGTACTAGTAGGCACATCAACATTATTTTTTTTTTAAAATGTTTTTATGGATATCTCGTGCTTCTTTTATTATATAGTACTAGCAACGTAACATTAACATCATCCGCGTATTATAAATATATAGCAAGATTCGCTTATCATACACACACATATTCTACTTCCATTTAATTTATGCATGTAGAGTGAACTAATATTGCCATAAGGGTAAATCTTGAAGTTTATATAGTCTTATTTTCTTCAGTAAAATGTATAATTTACCAGTTTGTGTCATGGGACTTTGTGTGTCTTTGAAGATTTCGCTTTGAAACTCAAATAGATGGGAAAATTTGTACGTTATAGGGTATTTACAAAAAATTGTTCATTTTCTTTCATATTCAATATCCCTTACTGATTGCTGCACTCTTTGTTGACGTTCCTATTTTATACATGTGTGTGTACTCTTTGTTATTTGTGCTTTTCAAAATTTTGTACATTGGTTCAGATTCCAATCCTTGCAACGGCGCTTGATGCTGATGGAGTAGTTGGGTGTTCTTCAAGCTCTTCAGGCTCAACTAAGCTAAGAGACAGAAGTATGATGTGTTCTTGAGTTTTCGAGGTGAAGAGACTCGCACAGGCTTTACTGATCATCTGTATGCTTCTTTACAACACAAAGGATTAAGAACTTTTAGGGATGAAGAAGGGCTTGAAAGGGGACAATATATCAACCCAAGAGTTTCCCCAATCTTCTCCAACTCTTCCTTCACCTTAAATTGATCTCTGGAAGTGCAGCTACTTTCAATAGATGAATAGGAACGAAAGAGATGACTAGAAGCCCTTAAAACACAATTTTAAATAAAGCTGTGCATTATGCTAAAAAACTGGTATGATGTCGCAACATCCAAATTGGTGCTGCAGTATCACTAGACAGAATTTAATTTGTTGTGAGCTTCAAAATTATTAACGTTGGGTCCCTAAATTAAGCCTCCCTATATGAATAAAACCTAAATTTAATGTCATAATTGATCCAGTAACTTTTATAATTGTCTTGAACTTTATCCACATCCATTCCCACAAATAACCATCCATTTAATCAACATATTTGCTAATTACTTTTACAAAATGACTTTCAATTGCATAAAAAGTCTAGTAAATTCACATCAATAGTTTTGAATTTATGAGTTCTTGCTAAACTTTCAGTCAAGGTGGGCATAGGCTAACTGGGATGAATTTATTCTTTATTTAGTTTTAATTATTTTTTTATTGAACAGTAATTTTTCTATGAAATTTATAGTTGCTTTTATATTTTCTCTCTCATTTTAAGTACTTTCTATATAGATTGTATGTGAGTAGCTTAATGAATTTAAAGGTGAAAAAATTACCTAAACCTAGAGAGATAAATGAAGATTCAATCTGAATAATTCAATTTAATATTTGTTAATAATTTTTATAAATTAACTATTCAGATGTACTCTGTACAGTACAGATATAATTTAAAAAGTCTAATCTAATATTAAAAAAATTTATAAATTAACAACCTAAATATACTTAACAGTCTAAATTTAATATTAAATTTTTAATAATTTATATATATATTTATTTTGATAAATATAATATTAAAAATATTTTAAAATCATTTAAAATTAATGACAAAGATCATTTAAGGGGGAAATAAAGGACTCCCGATGACCTTTTAGGAGATAAGCATGCGGCACGGAATGCGAATCCATTACTTTATGCATATGACCTTTGAATTTCCTTGAAGGCCGTGAGAGGAAATAAACTGAATTGTCCAACAAAATTTCCCGACAGGAGGGTCCATCATGTAGAAGAATGTGTTCTGTATTACAAAATCAAAATATAAGGGGAAGGGATTCTGAATAATTAAAAGTTCCACGTCCCATGATTCTTCATTAAAATATTTCATCTTTCCTTGGTACTTTGGCGTCAATATCTTCGTAAGTGAAAAGCATAAAAATGACCTTCAAGTAAATATTAATTTAACTTTAATTTATAAATTTTAGTTTTGTAAATTTAATCCAAATACACCTAAAAAAAAAAAAGACTTGACCTCACACCCACTGCTTCATATATATTCATATTAAAATGTTATATAACGACATTTACCGAAAGAAATATTATAGAGTTACAGACAGCTGGATGGCAATCAAAGGTATACGTACGCCATTTTGCTTTGTCCCTTTACAAACTGAAAGTTCTGCGAAGAGGGACACAGTCATGCGGTTTAGGATGGGACTGACTTGGACGACGACGACCACCTGGGGCTGAGTCTTATATATGCCATAGCTTGGAGCTTCATATACAAACACACACGCGCACTAGCCTCGTGGATTTTGCAGATCATCAGAGACTGAAGACTAAACACAACACTTATTAGCCTCAACTTTATTTGATTCATCCTTCAGGTTCCTTTTTTAGATCTATTCTATGAAATCATTATTTTTCTGTTTAGATCCATCTGTCAAATTATCTATTCCTGAAGAGTGTTTCTTGTGGGATCGAACAGATTCTTGAATACGCTACTGCTTGTTGAAGTTTCTGTTATTTTGTTTTCTAATTCTTAAGTCAAATTGATTTCATTATGTTTTGCCTTGGAACTGTGTGATGGATCTGGGTAGATTTGTTGACAAAACCAATCTAGGCCAACATGAAGAGATCAAAACCAATTATAAATAAGTTTTTTTTTTGACAAACTAATTGGGTTGATTCGATTTAAGTTTTTGTCTTTTGAAACTTCAACCAAACCAACCCAAGCTTTATTATATCTATTGTATACATTTTTATAATTTTTTCTAAATTCTTTTCTCTTTTCCAAATTTATTATCTTAAACCACTAATCAAAAATATGTTACAATGAGTTAAATGTTATGTATAATTTTTTATGATAACTTTTAATTTTATAATCAAGTTAAGGATAGCATATTATTTTTAAATAGTTAAACGTGCTAAATAATTGTAAAAAAAATACTCTTTTGTTCTCAAGAGATTATTTTCATTCAAAATCAGTACTATTTAATATTTAAAAATTAATAGTAAATGTTCATATATATATATATATATTATGAAATATATCTAAAAAACTTAAACTTAATCCAAACTGAACCAAATCACTTAAAAACTGAACTATCCCAATTATAAGAAAAAAATCAATTGGATCCCAAGCTTTCGTGAATTAGTTGGTATGTTCAATTTTGGTTTTTTCTACCAAAACTGAACCTCTGGCCACTCTTAGGACTGCAGATCCAAACACTTCTTGCAAAACAATTAAAATTGGAATAAATGATTCAAGGTACTGTTAGGCATATCATCATTATTTATTTATTTATTTTACTTTTTTATGGATATCTCATGCATCTTTTTACACAGTACTAGCAACATTAACATCATTCGCAGTCCAATTGCCTCTTACATTATATAAATGTGTGTGTGTGTATATAAAGATTTGCTTATCATAAATACGCATATTCTACTTCCATTTACTTTATTTATCTAGAGTGAATTAATCGTGCCGTAGGAGTGAAGCTTGAAGTCTATAGTGTTTTTTCCCTCAGTAAAATGGATTATTTGCTGGTTTGTGTCCTGGGACTTTTTGTGTGATCTGCTGAAGATTTTGCTTCGAAACTGAAATAGACGTGAAAATTTGTACGTTATGGGATATTTACAAAAATTTATACACTTTCTTTCATCTTCAGTATCCCTTACTGACTCTTACGGGGGAAAAAATCTTATAAAAAAAAATTATCCCTTACTTTGTGTGTGTATTCTTTTTCATTTTGTATTTTTCAAAATTTTGCACTTCGGCTCAGATTCCGAATCCTTGCAATGGCGCTTGATGCTGATGGAGTTGGGTGGTCTTCAAGCTCTTGTGGATCAAATAAGAGATGGAAATATGATGTGTTCATGAGTTTTCGAGGTGAAGATACTCGCACAAGCTTTACTGATCATTTGCATGATGCTTTAATACGCCAAGGATTAAGAACTTTCAGGGATGAAGAAGGACTTGAAAGGGGACAATATATTAACCCAAGTTTACTTCAAGCAATTGAAGAATCTCGTTCTGCAATTGTTGTGCTCTCCCCAGGATATGCTTCTTCAACATGGTGTTTGGATGAGCTCCAAAAGATCCTTCATTCAAAAAAAGAGTTGGGTCTTCAAGTATTTCCAATCTTTTACTGTGTAGATCCATCTGATGTGAGGAAACAAAAGGGAAATTTTGCAGAAGCATTCATGAAACATGAAGGAAGATTTACGCAAGACAATATGAAGGTGCAAATATGGAGGGAGGCTTTAGAAGAAGTTGCTAGCATATCTGGTTGGGATTCCCGAAATAAGTAATTTCTACTTCTCTCTTAGTAATTATTATCATTATTATTACTACTACTACTACTACTATTATTATTTGGGTGAAAAATAAGAGTGTGGATATTCAAAATAAACTATAATATATAACCACATCAAGTTTTATTCAATTTTTTTTGGGAGTTACTTGAAGCTTTCACTAAATTAATGCAGTGTAAAGTTAATTTAAGTGGTCGACTTATCGGTCTGTGTTTTGAAATTTCATTATTAATTAATAAATATTAATATTGTTTTTTTAATAGTGGAAAAGTAAGCTTAGATTCGAACTTTTAAGCCGATATTGTATTTTTCTGTAAAATTCTAAATAAAATAAAAATACTACTCAAAATTCAAATAATACAACTTATTAAAAAAAAATCTCAAACAATAATGTGTTAATTAAATTACTTCAATGTCTAGGAGTCAGCAAAGTATGTACACACATATATAATTTTGACAAGTGTCTTCCATATTCCCATTACTATAATCTATATATATATATATATATCGTCAAACAGTCTTGACAACCCTGTTGAAGTCTTCCAAATCAACACATCCCCATTGATGCATCTTTAACCTAATAGCTTAATTCAATTTAGTGAAGTATAGCTACGAGGCCAAATAGGATATGAGGAAGGAATTTTATAAACCTATCTTTAATCCTTCCAGTTCTATTTATAAAGAAGAGAAAAAATATACTTTTTAGTCTTATCTATAAGGCATATTATTGACTTTTAATTACAAATTTTTCTTTTTGCCACTCATTAAATGTTAGTGAAAGAAAGTAAATTATTAAACTACTTATATTTAATATATAGGAGCCAAGTTAAGAACTAACTAAAATTTTTAGAGAGAATTAATAAGTTTTAATGTTTCTTTAGTTCTACTGAAAACATGTTAGAAATAACTTATAAATGATACCAAGGATAATAGTTTGAAATCAACTAGAGTATCCATGGCTTATGATTGGTATGACTTCCTATATATTTTAATTGATGAGTCTTAGAAATGAGGAAAATAATTGTAAGTTGAAAACTATAACTAAGTTAAATTAGATTTTGTTCTTTTATACAAAAATTAAAAACACAACTATTTAACATTGAAATACATTAACTTAATAATTATGATAAAGGAAATGTTGGCACATCGAAATATTCTCATTAATTGTAAATTAAATACTAGATTTCAAAAAGGGCATGATGCCGATGCTTAGACATAGAGATTTTGCTTTTTTTTTTTAATATCAAGAAATTCAAATTGATGTGAATATTCTAGAAGCTACGTTCAGCTTTTCTATGAATAAAACTATATATCGTTTATTCTTTTTTTTAATTAAGATATATCGCTTATTCTTACTACGTTAAATTCAGTTTCACAGTAAATTTAAAATTGTTACATTTGTGGTCATGTTTTCTTTATAACTCACATTAACTATGTATAGTGTTTATGCGTGATAATTTATAATTCAATTGACTTAAAGAATCATGCTGTTTTTAGCTAAAAGAAAGATCATGCTGTAATTTTATTTTTCTATATGTAGGCATGAAACAAAATTCATTGAAACCATTGCTAAAGAAATTATGTCTAAGTTACTTGATGACTCGCCATCTGACCTTAGTGTATTAGTTGGAATTGAATCAAAATTAGATGAGTTGGAGTCAGTCATAGCAAGTGATTCAAAGGGAGTTCGATCTATAGGAATTTGGGGAACAGGAGGCTTAGGAAAAACTACTCTTGCAAGAGCTTTTTACGAGCGAAAATGCAAAGACTTTGAAGTTTGTTGCTTTCTTCATAATATCAGAGAGGTATTTGAAAAAGGTGGTTTAATTTCATTGCAAAGAAAACTTCTTTTTTCTTTGAATAAGAGAAGTGTAGAAGTGGATGATTGTTATGAAGGAATGAAGTTGATAAAAAACATGGTGGGAGATAGAAAAATTCTACTAGTCCTTGATGATGTGAGTAAGATAAGCCAACTTGAATATTTGGCTCGAGAGCAAGGATGGTTTGGCAATGGGAGTAGAATATTAATAACAACAAGAGATATGCATTTGTTATCATCATATGATGTATCTACTCAGTATAACATCAAATTCTTGAGTGACGACCAGTCCCTTCAACTTTTCCGTCAAAATGCTTTTAAAGGAAAAAATCAACCAAATGAAGGTTACTTAAAGCTTTCTAAAAATGTGATAAAGTATGCTGGAGGCCTTCCTTTGGCTCTCAAAGTGTTAGGTTCATTTCTTTGTGGAAGAACTATAGAGGAATGGAAGGATGCACTTGCCAAGTTCAAGAAGGTTCCTCCAAAGGACATGCTGAAGATACTTGAAGTGAGTTTTGACGGATTAGATGATAAGGAGAAGACTATATTCTTGGATGTTGCTTGCTTTTTCAATGGGATGGCCAAAGATTATGTCATTCAAATTTTAGAAACATTTGATGAAGACCTTCACCCAAAATTTGGAATAAAGGTTCTTACTGAGAAATCACTGCTAGTAATTAATCACGAAGGGCATTTGTGGGTGCATGATATTCTTCAAGATATGGGTAAATATATTGTTCTTCAAGAATCACCTAATGACGCTAGTAAGCGTTCTAGGACATTGTCTTTGAAGGATGCCAATGATATCCTAAAAAGAAATAAGGTAACACAGCTTAAGTTCTTGTGATTGTATGTGCACTCTTTATTTAATATTTCATTTAATGAATTTTATACATTATTAACTTGACTTATTATTTTACAGGGTACAAGAGCAATTCGAGGTATTGCTCTAACATTAGAAAAATCATTTGATGCACTTTGGGATCCTAAAGCCTTCTCAAAGATGAGTAATCTCAAGTTACTTACCATTTCAAGTTCCTCATCACATGTTTCTCGTTGCCAATTGAATCTTCCTGGTGGACTTAAATCTCTTCCCAATGAATTGAGAGTTTTTGAATGGGAGGGGTATCCTTTTGATTATCTGCCCAGACATACTCAACTTGATAAACTTGTTCATCTAAAAATGCAACATAGCAAGTTAAAACAACTTTGGAGAGGCACACAGGTAATTATGGTCCTTCCATTTTAATTGCTTGTCCATAATGTAATACACTTATTAGTATAAATAGATTTTGGTTTTGACGGCTTACTATTTTCTTGTTTCCTTTTTTCTTTTCAAGTCTCTACAAAGGCTGATGTCCATTGATTTATCTCATTCAAAATACCTCATCAAAACTCCAGATTTTGATAGAATTCCTAATCTTGAGATATTGATTCTAGAAGGGTGTTCTAACCTTGTTGAAATTCACCAGTCTCTTGGGCAACACAAGAATCTTGTCACTGTTAATTTGAAAGGCTGCACAAAAGTTAAATCCCTTACAAGAAAATTTGAGATGGATTGCTTACAGACTTTTGTTCTATCCGGTTGTTTAAAAATTAGAAAACTTCCTGAGTTTGGAAAGGATATGAAATGTCTCTCTAAGCTTAATTTAGAGGGCACTGCTATATCCAAACTACCTGAATCACTGGGCAATTTGATTGATCTTGCTGAACTAAATTTGTCAGGTTGCAAAAATCTGGCTTGCCTTTCGAATAATGTTTGCAAAAATAAGATTATCACAATTTCTGGTTCGTCAAAGCTTTCAAGGATGCCAGAGGATTTGAATGAAAATGGGGCTTTGGAAGTGCTTGATGTGGGTCATCAAATTTCTAAAGAGGCACAATCAATTTGTGAATACAATGGTCGAGCACATTCTTCAATGTCATGGAGTAGCTTCTCCCTTCTCAGGAAGGCATTTGGGCTTCAAAGGCCTTCAAGGTCAATAAATCTTTTCTTGTCCCCTTCTTTATCATGCTTGAGCGAATTAAATTTAGGTTATTGTAATCTCTATGATGGATCACTTCCTGATGACATTAGCCGCTTTACATCATTGGCATCATTAAATTTAAGTGGAAACAATTTCATTGACTTACCATCTGGCCTCATTTCCAATCTTTCGAAGCTTCGATGTATTGGTCTCGTTGATTGCCCAATGCTTAAGTCCTTGCCACAACTTCCGTCAAATCTGTCAGTTATTTGGGCAAATGGTTGTCCATCAATGGAACATTACATATTTTCGCAGAAGCTATGGGAGTTCATTGAATCATTCCAATCTCAGGTTTATTTTATTTTTCTTCACTTGTTCTTTCACATTATTAATCATTATACTTCTTTAATATAGCCAATTTTTCCCCTTATAGGTTCATAATATCAGTGACGTCTTAATATTTGATCAATCTGATGGATATAAATGTTTCCTTGTAAGTATGGGGTCTGGAATTATTACACGGGATTCACAAATTGTGAGTTTTTTCATTTTTAATTGCATGAGTTTCTATTTTTTTTTTTTGGACATTGAATATTCATATATATATATATATATATATTTGATCTGTATATATTTTCCATTTCTTACGCATTAATTATTATACTTCTAAGACTTACTATTTGTTTTGTCACAGCCTGACTTCTTCGTGCAACCCGTTCGCCAATTAAAGATTCCTGGTAGTGAAGTGCCGTCATGGTTTCATAATCAAGACTACTTTTGTGAGAAAGAATTCAATGATCCAAATGTGTCATTCATAGTAAGCATACCTGATCATTGTCGAAGAAGTGAATGGTGGGGCATAGCCACATGCTTAGTGATAGAAAACGATTTGGCATATGACGAAGAGTGTGATATTGTTTGGTGGACTTTCAAATTTCTTAATGATGAATTTCCAAATACGTATGGTTTCTCTATCATTGTGTTACAGGCAAATTGGAGTCATCAACTCTGTATTATATATATTCGTTGTTCCTCTTTAGTTGTAAACAAACTTCAAATGGTATTTTCTACTGTAAATCCATTTGAAATTGATGAGTCACCGAAGTCTAAAGTAAGGAAGTGTGGGTGGCGTGTGGTGTGTAAAGAAGATGTTGAAACATGGAATGAGGGCTGTAGTAGCATCAATGATTGAATCAAAGTTAGCCCAAAATGCCAAGCCACCTAACAAAGTGCATAAAATAAGAACAAATGCTTCAAGGTACGTATGACAAACGTTTTTATTTTAATTGTAAGTTTATATTTTATATTATTCCGTGTTTGATGGCTATTTAAATCTTTATTTAATGTATAAATTTAATCTAATCTTTAATTCATATAAGTATTATATTTCCTCAATTTTTTGTTCCAATCGGCATTGTTTATTTGTAGTATTGGATTTGTTTTCATATCTTACAAAATTTTTCTTATTTTTCGTGTGTTGTTTTAGTGATACTTGTTTGACATAATTTAGTTTCAGTAGTCTATCAAATGCCAAATTTGATCTTATGTGCAATCACATGTTTAAAGGAGCTAGATGTAGGATTTGTGACGGATACTTTTTGAAAAAAAAACTCAAAAATTTATGTTATTATTATTATTGTTGGTAAATGTCAAATATTAAGCTAGTACTGTTTAAAACAAGAAAGTGTGGTTGTTGTGCAGCGATGTCAAAAGATGGCAAAAACCAAGATATGAAGTTGAAGTTCATTCTAACAATTTAAACAATCCTAATGAAGTTGAGAATAAAGATGGCTGTAGCTGTTTGATGGATCCCATGGCATGGATGATATGGTGTCAATAACAACGAAGCTTGAGGATGGTAATCATGAATATGGTGGCATGAAAGGAGCCTAAGGCAAGGAGCAAGGAGCGCAATACTTCCAATCCAACGTGTCTAAAGACCCTTTACAACATATTGGAAGTTCAATGATAAGAACCCGAACTAAAGTCATGAAGCAAGCTTTGTTTAGTCTTGTGCAAGAAGTCCAAGAGTTTGGAGAGCATTGGGCTACTCCTCTCAAGCCCAAAGGAGAGCATCTATATGTATATAATATGCTTAAGATCCAAATCCATAAAGAGTCAAGCTCAAGAGATGCAAACCTTAGCCCAACGTAAGAAATACTAAAAGTTGAGTCTCTTGCGAGCAAGGAGGCATGAAACCCTAGTGAAGAAGTCAAAGGTGGCATGATTTTAAATCATCTATGATCCCTTGATTGTCTCCTAAACTGTTTCCTATTTCAATGGTCCTTTGATTTGACTCCCTTTCTTAAAGAGCAAGATTAATCTTTGTTTCCTATTTTGAGTCTAGTCAAAGATTAGGATTAATTATATTATTAATTTATAAGTTTTGTAATCCTATAATTTTAGGATCCTCCTAAATTATATGGCTGGAGATTTTCTCATTATTTTATATTATTTCTCTTTTTAGTATTAGGAAATTAGGGTTTTAATTTTAGGAAATAGTTTTCTCTATGAGCCTATATAAATTAGGCATGCTCCCTCTTGTAAAGAAAAAGAGAAGTTGAATGAAATTATTCATTTTAAAATTTATAACTCTTGTGAGCCTTAGGGCTTTGTGGTGGCATCCAGTGTGAAAAACAGATGTGATCAAGAGCGTGATCAACTCTTGTAGTGTCTTCGAAGGTTGAGATTCCTAGAGGTAGGTACTCTAGAGGATCTTATCCTTGATCATTATCCCATTATTTATTTCCTTTCTTTCTTTATTTTCGTCATAAATTTCACCCCATTCTTTTTGCTCTTGTGTTTGTGTTGTGTTTCAGGGTTCTATCTCTAAACTAGCACGATTCTACTTCCGCATCCCCTATCATTGTTGGGAGTGGATTTCAAATTTTTGGCATTCCATTGAGCATCTCTCTCGGACTTGATGTTAAGGTATATTAATTTGCTTAGTCTCTGTTTCTAGGTACATGTTTCGTTTGTTTCAGCATTCTTGCTTAAATCTCTTATGTCTACTGAATCATTTTACAAAACCATAGCAAGTAGACTTCCAAAAGATGATGCACAGACAGAATTTCATTGTTATGAGCACTTCTTAAAAGTGTTTGGATTGAATATCGTTCTTTTCATTGTTAACTCTCAACTCTTGTTATTTGCATATTTTCTTGCTAATAAATTGTTTATAATTAGGCTTGTTTTAAATATTAAAAAGCCTTGATAGAATACACACACATACCCACACACACACATAACTGCTATACATACCTCTCTATACAGAAGTCTATAATTGACTAATTTCTGCATAATTTTTTATAAAATTTGATATTACTTAAACCTCTCCGTTATAGGTTGTGTACATGAGTTAAATCTGCTAATGTGTGTTAAAATTTAATACAACTTTGCTAATTCTGTTGCTGACTTGGTAGAATTTCAATTAGTTAGACATTATATGAGTAAAATGGCTAGTAACCTTTATGATTATCTACCCTAGCTATCTTGTCTTCTTCTTTTTGAGGCATCATCCATTATGTATTTAAGGACTTTTATTTAATGTCTTGCTTTGTCTTCTACTCATTTTTTTATACAACTCATCATGATTTTAACAAGTCAACTCAAGAAGCAGTGGAGTTCATGTATATGTTAGCCACCGTTTAAGTCCTTAGAATCATATTTAAAATATATAGATACTAATGTTGTACAGAGATAAAACTTAATAGATTCGAAGCAATGAAAATAAAATAAAGGGACCAACACCAAAACACACTAAAAGTAAAGGAACCAATAATTAATTTTTCCTAACATATACACACGCACGCACGCACAATTGCTATACATACCTCTGTACACAAGTTGATACTATATGTATAGTTGACTGATTAATTTCTGCATAATTTTTTTATTTTTGGTAAAAATTGATATTTCTTTAACTTTTTTTTATAGGTTGTGTACAGGAGTCAGGGGAACTGGGAATTTTCTAAGAGACATTCAAGAAGCAAGAGCTAGATACAAGCTAAGAGCTTATCTAGTTTCCTCTATTCTCCCATCCTTAAATTGATATGAGAGTGGCTAATAAACTTGTTCATTTGTATTGTTAAGAACCCTATTGTATGAATTTGAGCTTGTATCCTATTGTTTTTTTTTTTTTTTTTTTGCCTTAGCGATTTCTAAGGCGTATGCTTTGTCAGTTCTTTTCTTCAAGCCTTCTTCTTGCGTGGCTGTCACAACCAACAAAATTGATTTGATATTCTATTTGAATATGAAAAAGGGATTGTGAAATCAGATTTTGAATTGTATCGTGCGGGTTTTATGTACTTACATTCTCATGTTTGGAGCTAAGGTATACAAATTTGAGGCCCATGTTTGTTCCAGGTACATGTTCTGTTTCTTTTAATTAAACATAAGGTTTCAAAATAAGAAAAATTTGTAATATATGCATACCAGGGGAAGGAGATAATTTATATTTTGAAAACAGACAAAATAACCTTGTAATCTGAGTATCACTTAATGGGAGGGGAAGAGTAACTTACCCTTACATAAAACATATACAAAACAAATTTAAAACTTCAGTTATAGGTAAAACGTATTTTATAAATAGTTTTCAAAGGATTGGGAAATTAAATTTCCCACATATCGAACAGTATCTAATCATCTACCCTGTTCACTCATTAAGGAAAGCACCACTACCATTCAGATATTTAATCAATTAATTAAAATACACAATTCGCTTCTTAAAAGATGTGTCTCCTAATGCTTTAGTCCATGGATTTATTTCTGTAAACAAGTTCGTCCCTCAAATTTTTTAACTCATTACATTTCAATTTGTCTTTCTGTGGGACTATATAATTTAGGGACCAAATTGTAAATAGATTCAATCTCTTATCTGCAGAAATTGGACCAATATATATATCATTTAAGATGAATTGCATGAGGAAAAAAATTACCTTAAACTTTTTTTCACTGGCACATGGTTGATACAGGCAGCGATAAGATCTGAGGTTGTAGGATTCATAACCTTTGCTAAAGTTCCAAGGGGCCTTTTTTGTCATTTTTCTAAGACGTAACAACAACATTAAAGGCGGTAATTCTACTTGGATTATGGCTTTGATTCTTCAACCAGCTCGTGGTTGGTTGATACCCATGATCCCCTAAGCAATTACTTTTCCAGTAATAAATACTACATTGAAGATCAAAGGACAAAATAAATCAGACAATGGGAAGCTCAAATGTAAGGATTTAGGAAATTAAAGTGAATAAAAAATATATATTTAGATAGTTCAAGTATATTCTTTCAAATTTTGGCGGGATTAATAATAGCTCAATGACAATTACTATCAGTGTTAATCTCTAGATTTTGGTTCGAATCCTCGAGGCCAATGGAGAGGTGTTATTTTGTTTTGATATTACTAAATTACTAAAATACCCTTATAGAAAACACTACTCCTATCGGATTTTTCTTCTCTCTCCATTTCTTCCCCCCCCCCCCCCCAACGTTTGTTGCTCTGCTGCGTCTTCAACCGAGAGAAAATTCCAGAAGTGGAGACTTGTTCTTTGTTCCTCCTCCCCATTTCCTTCGAATCAGCTGGAGATTTAGAGAAGCTTCAAATTCAAAACTCCTGCCACTTTCCGTCTTCCTTATTCTCCTTCCCCACTGTTCAGAGCCTTGAGTTCGCCGTCTTCCCTGTTTCTGCCGTCGTCCCCCCCCCCTTCTCTGTTCTGTCTCCTTTATTTGCGTCTGCGTCGTAGGTAGGGTGAGGAGCTAAGTCACTGGAGGATTTTAGTTGTGCGGCTATTAGAGGTTGCCATCGCCTCTTCTTTTCCTTCTCGGTCGCAGCTGCGCCAAAATCCTCTCCTCCCCCGTTCAACGCTGTGAATTTCTCTTCTCTTCTTCTCATTCCTGTCAATGGTGATTTTAAGGTGAAAACTTCAGTCCTTTCTCCTAGTTGCTGTATATGAGTGCTGACAGTTAAGTTTTGGAATTTCTTTTTCTTTTCAGTGGACCGTATGAAATATGGAAATAGGAATTGGGATTTCTTAGTGTTTGAAATTGATTTTTACTATTAACGAATACATATTTGGGAGACTGAATGATCAAAATGTCTTTATTGTAAAATTTTAAAAGTTGGAACAGATGAAGGAGGAGTTTGGTTTGAATCTAAGAATAAATGTATAAAAGGTGCTTGACAAACTGTTTGTTAAAAGAAGTTTGGTTGATTTTGTGTTTTTCTAAAATTTTATTAATTCTTATGAGAATCATGTTTAGCTTGGGTGTTATAGATTCATGAATTTAACTTGAAGGTTGCAAAGGAATTTAATTATAAAATATGTATATAACTATTTGGATTCTTAAAAATTGTATAGTTATTAAATTGATGGACAAAAGATATAGAAGATTAGAAAATTTAAATTGAATGGTTGAAAATGATGCACTTGATGTACTTGATACAAAGCCTAAGAGAGGATTATATTTCAAGTAAATAGTTTGGCTTGACTAAAGCAATATGGGAGAAATTAGTAATATAAATATGACAACTCTAAAGCATGAATTTGGTCTTGGAATTTAAATGATGGTAGTTGATTGGGACTATGTTAGGAGTGGAAAGAAGTCTTTATAATTTATAGAAAATTTGTTAAAATTTCATTTACTCATATCCTTATTAAGTGTGGAAGAAAAGGACTTTGATAGGAATCGGAGGAAGAAAATCTTCAAAATTTGGGAATCTGATAAGTAATTGAATGGCATCGCTATTAATCTACAAATAAAATCCTTCACTGAAATATTATATTTCATGTAGAAGATTCCTAATCCGCATTATTATTATTATTATTATTATTATTATTATTATTATTATTATTATTAATTATGTTAAGTATTGGGCATTTGTTAATTAAATTATTTTATCTTGTGAAATTATATATTCAATTGTGGCAAGGAATAATTAAGATATGATAGGCATATGTATTTTCCTTATGGATTATATTTTTAAGATTAATGAAATTATTTTGATTGGTTTTAAAAATTTTAGTTATCAAATGAATGCAAGAATGAATGCTAGTTATGATTTTTTTTTACGAGTATTGAATTGAAGTTTGCAATGATTCATGCAAATTCGGTATTGAGAATGCAAATTATATTTCCAAAGCGATGATTCCTCTCGCATGTTTGAAAAATAATTTTCAATGGACTTTAAGTGCATTTTTGGTTTACATCCTAACCTCTGTTAAAGTGAGTCAAACTGAGGTTAGGGAGTAAAAAAGTTAAAAAATGATGTTTGGATTAACAAAATATATCAACCTTAGTTAGAGCTAAACGAGCATTAATTTAGAAGCTATCAACATTGGCTTTTTCTCCTGTGTTGCGTTGATCTGGCCGTTGGGAAGCATTGATTAGCTTTTAAATTTTTGTGCTTTCTCTCTCCTCTCATTTATCTAACCCACAAGCATGAGCTCTGCTTTTCATTCCACTATGCTTTCTTCTCCCGTGACCTCGCAAGCTAATACTGAAGAACCAGATTGTAGCTTTACTTATAATGATTCAGATTATTTTCCAAAATTGAAGACAAAAATAATGAAAGTGTGTACAATGGTTTCTGGTAAATCCTGGCTTCGCATCTTTGAAAAGCTAGGATTGATGAAAGCCAAGCTTTCATCTTCATCACCACTGCCAACACGATGCTTTTCGTGGATCAATTGTGTGTAGAAGTGAGCAGAGAGAGAACAAGTATACGAAGTCTAGAGAGCAATCCAAGGCACACCATACTCTTGAGCAAGAATAAGAGACGAAGTCACGAAAGCATCAGAAATCACACACGTCACTCTCAAATTCCTCTCTGAAACCGCCATACTTAGGCCTTGTTTTAGGTTCTGAGGACCAGCTTTGAGAAAGAAGTTCAGCCTTCGGATGGGTGGTGGTTAGTGAGGTCGAGACCGTCGAGGATTCCATCAGAGACAGTGTAAAACTTCAGGGATGGTGTTGCTGAGTTTAAAAGATAAGAGGGAATGCTTGCTCTGTAGGGTGTTGAAAATAGAGAAGCTCACGTGAGGAGCAGCGATCACAAGGTTAAGCAGAGGAGCGGCGTGAGTGCCAAACATGCAATAAAAAGGTTAAGCAGAGGAGCTCTGCTATCAGCAGGGGAAGGCAAAGACTGCCCCGTGTCAGCTCCGATCAGGCAAGGCTCTACCAATGGTGGTGGTTGTGGCTGAGAGTAGAATAGAGGGATGAAGACAACTACAATAAAAAGGTGGCTTTCGTTGAAATGATATTGGCACCATGCTGGGTTTGGTCCTATTTATAAGATTTTGTTTTTGTAATATTTATACTTCATGTCTTTAACTTTTTATTGCAAATTTTTTATTTTACTTTCTTGTGAACATGATGAAAAAAAGTGCCTTATTAGAACATGTAACTTATGATGTTAGATTTAATGGGAGGAATTAATTCCTTATAATATAATAAATTAAATTTTAAATTCTCTCGAAAAAAGATATACTCATATTCAATGATAAAAAATGCATTGAACATAATTTTTTTCATTAGACATGTAAGCAATAAATAAATAAATATATAATATAAATAAAGATGAAAACTAATTAAAATTTTAGAGAGTTAACTAATTTTAAAATCTTAATTAATTGTGAAGAAATTTGTTGAGAGTCATTTATAAATAATATTGAAATGAAAATGCTTATATTTATTAATAGATCATAGGTGCTTGTTTTCTTTTTTTTATATTAAAATGCATATATTTATTAAAAAAAATTTATTCAAAAGTTAGTTAAAATGCATACATTTTTTGTTATTAAACATCTCAATTGACTTTTGAATTAAACCATCCAAATAAATTTCAGTTTATCTGACTAACTTTTGAAAAAAATGGTATCCAAACATAAATCACGTTACATCAACTGACTTTTCTTCTAACCTCAGTTTGTTAATCTCAGTTGATTCCTAACCTTAGTTGTAAATTTTTTAATCCAAACACACCCTAAGCAAAACGTTGTTACTAATGACAGTTTTGTGAGCCCTTGGTGTGCATAATCAACGACTATCTAGTTTGATTTTTGTGAGCTCTGTTCCTATGTTTGTTATTCATGGGTCTTGTACCTACATCTGTTTTATAGCTTCAACCATGTCTAGTTAGTCACTCTTGTGGACTGTGTGTCTACGTCTATTTTATGGCCTCAACCATGTCTGGTTAGTTATCCTTATGGATTGTGTGTCC